GAAGATACTCCACATTTCTTACCGCACTGTGCAAGAATACATAGTAGAAATTTTGTTACATGGCCTACTTCTTAGATAAACAAAGCGTTGTTGTTTTATGTGGTGCTGTAGGAGATGCAAGATAAAATAGGTTTAGAATCTTGTTAGAGATGCGTCGGTACATTAGTGCATTCTTCATTGATGCATAATATGGCTCGATCGGAAGGCGTGTCCCTTCCGTTCGTTTGGAAGGGCATGCAGAACAAACTCCGGCGGCGTGCACGAACAAACCGGTTTGGTCTCAATAACCTTCAACATAGCACCTGGAACTTCCAGATTTCTCCTAATCATCATGCCGACGATAGCCTTCAAAAGCTGCCGATTCGGCTACCCAAGAATTCTCCGTTGTCGGCTCGAAGATAGTGCTGTACTTTGGAGTAAATCCACATCCGCTAGGTGACACTCAGTATGTCATGACGGCTCAAAACTTTGCGCAAGCACAAACGGTCTCACTTTGTCATATGCATGATCATGACGGCTCATATATTCGATGTGCCGAGAATCTGAAGCTCCAAGCTGTAAAATCATGAAACTGGTATCATCTCAACCTCGAGGCGCTCACCTCGTTGTGACTGACAGCCTTGGCTGAGCTTGGAAGACGACGACAGAGAGTTCTCTGGCTAAAAGCAACGTTGGAAGAGATTGACTTCTCCGCAGTTTGAAGCGTCGAAGAAAGAGAACCACGACACCTGTCGATCAAAATCCGAACTTGCATTGCTATCGAACAAATGCCTCAAGCAAAGCTGAGTCGTGAACAGGGGAAGCTGCCCGAAGTTCAGGATTCTGATATGGTTGGAACGAGCTCGTTGCGAAGCGGGAGCGACAAGAGGACATCGGAAGCTGTACGTCTCACTCCATTGCACACGGAGTGAGGCGTAATCATTGCGTAGTGAGAAACAGCAGATTCGGAACCGCATCCGACAACTGGGGCCCAGATGTTCCCAACCTGTAAGGCATCTTACTTTTTATCCCTGCAGAATGCTAACACGCGTCTCGCGTTTTGACCTACTTGTCAGAAATTGACTTCTGGGTCATACACTAGATCTTGACAGGGAGCAGACTCTGTCCTTCCAATTTACTACGGGCCCAAAATAGGATTAGAAAACTGCGCCAATAGAACATACGTTTGATTCTGCAGCGTATTCTACTCCGGCATCAAAGATACATGCACGTTTTCCCGTACCCCGGTTTCTGTCGGGCGTTGGGGTGCCTCTCTAAATACGGTAAATACGAAACTCGAGAGTCGTATTGTCGAATTGTTTTCAGAAAGTTCCATATTTCCAACAAAAAGATCTTTGTTATCCATGTGGTTTTACTGGAAAGACTAAAGATGATGGATTGTGACCATTTCTTTGTTGATGTAGGTGTCTTTACTAGAGAGAAACTAACAGAAACATTCAACTAAAACTTTGGGATGACATCTGAGTTCAACCAGTCAAGTTCTAATATTTTGACTCCTTGTTTACTTCATGAATTTATAACTTTGAAAACAAAAGAAGTTGTCTAACTAGTTTTAAAACATCAAGGTATTCTTCAACTTTCTTGGGAACAAAAGTACATGGATAAAATAGTGAAAGAACACAAACAATTTTTGGTTTTGGTGTACTGAGAACAGGACGAAGTCAAAGTTCTCAAAATCTATTAATTTATTGCAGGCGTTAAGAATAGATTTACTCAACTCATGGAGCTTTCTGAGAATTAGCTTGCCCATTTGTTAACGGTGTAAAGTGATGTATGAGTGTTTCAATGGGAAAAATACATTCACAAATAAAAAATGACACCGATTTCTCGATCGAAAGTATATTACATTACCGTAGAATTCGGCCTAAAACATGAGGGTTTAGGTTAAGATACGCCGAAAACTATCAAGTTCCATATATTTCGTATTTTTTTTTTGAAAATTATCTTTATTTTCTTGAGATAAGGAACATTCGGAACCCGCCCTATATAGAAAGGCCTGCTATACAATATAGGCAGGCATGGATATAATAGTCTCCCGCCTAAATTACCTAAATACGTATGATTTAGTCTCCTCGAAAAACTTACTTTAGTCTATTCAAAAACATTAATTTAGGCGAATTTAGTCTCCTTACAAAGTTCATTTAGGCTAATTTAGTACACTAAAAAGGTAGTTTAGGTTAATTTAATTTCAAAAGATTTAATTTAGGCTAATTTAGTTAACTAAACTTTTTTTTCAGAAGAAAAATTTTTCAATTTTTTTTTTTAAAAATTACATTAATGAATAAGTTTTTTTAAAAAAGTCCATCAATTCTACGTAAGTGTCCACTGCTTATAACATGTACACACCAAATCGTAACTCCTTTAATTTAGTCGACTAATCATCATCAAGTTTAGATAATTTAGGTGACCGTATATACGTGTATATACGGTCGCCTAATACAACCATGCCTGAGTATAGGTCATACCCCCATAGTGAAGTATGGACCATACTTGACTCTGGGGCCTAGTGTATGACCCGGAAGTCAATTCTTCAGAAGTCTGCGGAGATCCCGCGACGCTTGTTTGACGACAGCTATGCATATCATTACAGGTCGCGAACAAATCGACCGAAAAGGAGCCGAAAAACCTCCGAACTGAAGCTTCGGCGAATCTTCTCATTCTGCTTTCACTCCGTGCGCACCGCAGGTTCGGTTGAAGAAAGCTTCAATGTATATCTTGGCTCCATTCTTCACTTACACATTTTGTTCTGCTTGCCACCCCCTCTTCGCAACGAGCTGGTTCCTACCAAAGTGTTAATTATTACCTGTAATTTATGAGGATCATCTGAAGGAGTGTTTTGATTTCTCCGGAAGCGAAAGGTTGCGTCACCGCTGGAAATTAAGAAGAAATGCATTTTTAATAGTGCGCAAAGATCTTAGGCACTCCTATCCTTGATGTACTTATGTGCATGATTTAATTTAAGTTGAGAAGAAAGCTTGAAGAAGTGATTAAAGCCGGGCAATCTAAGATAATTTCTCCTTTGATGATCGTGCGTCTGATCTCCAGGTGGACTACGTCTGTAGCGTCTAACGTAGACTTTTTCTTTTCCAACGAAAACTAAAGGAGTGAAGTTTGACCAATATAACAAGTGAAGCATATGCATGAAATATAGTAGAGTACGGCAGTATGTATTTCATGAGCTGGCAGCATATACGGAATAACGTTTACTGCTCTCATGTACTATTACATTGTTGACCTGGGTTTCTTCACCTGATGATATTCTTCTCTTTGTAGAGATTATGTTATGACGACCCAGAGAATCCTTGCACCCATACAGTATCACAGGTAAAGTATATGTATAAAAAACTTGATGTCCTCATGACCAGTGAAAAGAGCAAGTTCTTACTGTAAAATACAGGATGAAACACTTTTACTATAGTTTCGAATTGAAAAACCTAAAAATTTAAACCCAATGAAGTCGGACTTGTATAGATCAAAAGGTATAAGAAGTGACTAGGCCACAAAGAGACTCAGAATGGGGAAGGTGTTAAAAGAGTGCAAAGAGGTCACAAATCCCTCCAATTGCGATAACGGTGATTACATGAAAAGGATGACGAGAGCCGATCATGCGCTCTGCCCGGGTTTTCCCTCCACTCTCTCCACCTTTCTGCTGGTCCAGAAGCCGAAAGCGAACACGTTCAAGACAAGTACCCAAAGCGCAAGGGATTGGTGTAACATGCACGTATGGCAGATTTCTCCTCAGACTCTTGTCGAGCTTTCAACTCAGGATGAGAAGAAATAACTCCCTTACCATGAAAGACTCACTGGCAGCGAACACCACTTCCAACCTTACATTCCACAATTCTACACGGAAACTAACCTATTTACAGTTGTAATCTCGGATGTCAGAACTCTAGCTTTAAACCATGCATCGAAGGTTTAGGGTGATGACCTTTCTGTCCTAAACATATTGAAAGATTTTCAAAAGTAGAGGCGATCCAGTCCTCTGTAACCAAACTCGTAACCTTTTACCAGTCCACATGACGTATCATCTTGTGACTTTCCAAACTTTTTCCATGGTTATATGAGAATTTTGGCCTCATTGCGCTCCGGATTCTATTCTTCTAACCACGTGATTGTATTTTGATGACCATTCTCAGCATTGTGAACTGTCTGCATTATGCAAGAGCCAGAATGCAGGAGCGTGCAAGATATAATAAATCTGAATTTGAGGCACATAAAGCATAACGAGGACAGACGTGAAAGTGGAATCCATTCGCTGGAACTCACACGTGCTGGCTTTGTATGATTCATTATGATTCATCAAACTTGGACACCAAAATATTCATTCTTATGCTTTTCTGTCTTCATATTCAACATCTCCCCATATTTTACCTCACAATCTCGTTGATGATGTTATCAATGATCCATCAAAAGACTCTTAAACTTTACTTGGAAGAAATAAAAGGATAAGAACACGACATCAACCCGACCAAGCTACAAAACCAACTGGAGAACATGTGCTAGAACCGAATTGTATCATGATTGAGTATTAGAAGTACTTTGGATGTAAATGATGAAGACGACTACATAGTGGCTGGAAATTTAATCTTCACTACGCTTTTCCGCATCTTTGGCCGTCCAATATAAAACAGTTCCATGTGGAGTTTCGCATAGCACGGGGAACATTCGTGGTACAACTAGTTAATGGCCTTTGTTGCAACATTCATGTTGTAGTCCATGCTATTCATTTCATAATAAGTTTTGAAATAAGAATGAGGGCTACCATGATTCTTCGTCGCTTTGGTATGGAAAGTCACAGATGAGAACTTAGAATACATAAAATACAAACTCAGACCGCAAATAAGGGCTGTAAGACTTTCAGATTTTACGAGAAGTAAATTCTCGGTAAGCATAGGTCTAATATTTCTAAGTCACAAGAAGAGAAAACGTTCTTACCAATATTTTGAATATGAAACTACTTGTAGCACTCTGAAAGGTATAAACATCTATGAGTGTCTGCACTGGTGGGATTCAGGCAATGGCACTTAAAAATCACACTTCGTGAATCTGCTGTTATTGCATTTTGGTTAGTTGTTCAAGAGACTAATCGAAGCGTATTAAAATCTGTCTCCTAGTGAAATAGGCCTGTATCTTGCTATATTCTTGCGCTTGGAGGAGTAGTAGTGTAACACAGAGAAATGCACTGGCAACAGTCTGGCTGAAATAGTTAATGGCCTTGAACAAGAACCTGGAGCTTTCTACATTGTCATTTCCGGCCATTTTGCATCCATTCATATTGATACGGATTTTTGACCACCATACGATGTACCTCGGCGTAGGTAGAACAATTCGGAAGTGGAGGACACAATCCGTACGTACAATTCGAAATTTGTTGTATCTTTTCCTGTATCTCTGCTTACACTCAATCTCCGCCAACCTCAACTTCAATCTGCTTGTGAGGGACTATCTGTCTCTTGATGACGAGAAGTGCTGCTACGAATGCTTGGTCGACTCCCGGTTTCACTGTAACCGCCATTTCTTTTTTGAAGCAGAGCACCCACTTCTGTACAGCCTGCAAGCCACGGAAACTAGGTCAATTTCGATCGGGAGTCCTGTGAGCCCGATCTCACAGGATCATCTATCCATAGACTCACTCCGATGGATAGAAGGTTCAAGAAATTGCAAACACAGATCTACGTCAGTCAAAAGAGAGCTCCTGGTAGTCGGCAAATTGAGGAGGCCTTCTTTTCAGGCCTGTGTTTCTACACATTGCTGCATACACAGTCAGTTGGCCTGTCGGTGAACAGGTTGAGCAATCCAAGCCTTTCGTGTGGCGCGTGGGTGGTTTGGCTAGCCTTACCTCTGCGATGATAACACCGTTGTGACGTATTTTGTAATGCGTTCCGAAGAAGTCGCTACTCAGCGTAAATTCATCGTTTCCCTTTCCTGGAAGCCATATCGTGAAATGCGGTTTCCACTGAATGAGACTGGACCTTGACATCGTGAAAAGCCGATCCTCAGACTTGCTTGATTTCTTGCCGCGGTACGCATTCCATGTATCCACGAACGAAAAGATCTGCATATTCAACCATCAGACCTTCTATTCACTCTCTACGCCCCGTGGACTTCATTGAAGATTTCAACTGTGCAGGTCCCCAGCCGCTTTCGCATTCATCAATTGGAGAAAGTTTCAGTCTCACAACTTCAGCCTTTGTGAAGAAAATTATTTGATGAACGGTCAATAGAAAGCAAAATATGGTACTTCACATCGAACCAGAAAATATCTTGTAATACAAAAACTGATGTGTACTCTTTGTCTCTCAGTAAGCAAGAGGAACATCAGCCAGAGGTATTAGCTCTACTTTCTGGATTTGTCGGTGCTCACCTTCCTTCTCAAACTCATGACGACACTTCCATCGTGATCGTAGACGACCAGGTTACAGCAAAGGGCCGAAGATCTATCTATCTTGAAGAGCAAATTGCCCTTGATATCCTTCACTTTGTACACGCCATCTGTCCAAACAAAATTCTTTTTAAAGATGATGAATTGCGTCGTATATGGCACACAGAACGATGAGCTCACTGGCGCTGGAATGGACAGGGCTTCCTCAGGGAACAGCTTCTCTACTTGCGGATCAGCTCTTTCCATGGCTGTTAACAATATTGTGCTTCTAACTCAGATCACTGCAGCAATGTATGGTCTGACTGAGGTCGTCGAATAAAATAGTGACAATGGATTCTGTCAACAAAGAATACAGTGGTTCAGCTCACAGATCTACAACAGGAATAGCCTGCTATGTCCCGTTCTAAGATTTGAATGTCTTGCTAACGATGAACTTACTTCAGTAGATACAAATGTGTTCTCAAAGGCTAGATGGCTCCTACAGTTCACGCTGATCTGAATCACCCGTAAACCAGTTACACTCTCATACTCGATGGCAACCTTATCGTTACATATAGCACTACAAGTTTCTAGCATTCAATTTTTTTCCGCGACAGGTTTTCTCTCACTGCAAGCTATGACTCCCGGGCTGGGACTCAGGTATTTCAATCTCAAAATGCTGGCAGCTCTGGAGGGGTCAATAATTGAACAGGGATTTTTGGTGCAGATCCGACGCAGGAGCCTAATCAGACCAGCATGGCTTTCGTTTAAAGCGACATTCAAAATGGGCGGACAATTCTGGCTTGTCCAAGTGTCCAAGGCTTTTGACAATCAGGTGGCCCGACAGCTAAGAAGGAGCCATATGCCTTATCTATATGGACTGTCCGTGGTACGCAGAGTACAATTGACGACTGTGGAGAAATCACTGTTGCAGTTTGTTAAACATTCTTCACCGAAATTACGTCATGCTTATTTTAGTAAGCCTCATAATTTATATTATGTCGCTCCAAATTTCCCGCAGGTGATGTCACAATTCAAGGGCTGTGAGTATGTAAAAAGACTATTCTGCAAAATCTTCCCAAGAGATTGGATATTGACTATTTAAAAGACGAATTAAGATCGCCGCTTCTGAAGCACATACGTCATCCTTCCCATTAGAGAATTATTGGGGGTTCGTATGTGAAAGCCAGAATACACGGCAGTAGTTTCCACAAGAGATAGCAGAGAACAGTGGAACTTGTGAATGGAGTACAGTTGCATCAGAGTGAGGAGCTTCAATGTTTGTCTTTTCTGTCGCCAAGTCTAGGGTTATATAGAGTTTAACCTCCCAATAGTGACATATATTGGTACTTAAGTTTTACGTCACTATTGCGAGGTGTCATTCACACAAGTAAAGTGCGAATAACCAGCTAACATAACATTGGTGTTAGAATTGGATGTCACTATTGGGAGTGCATAATTTTAATATAACCTCCTAATAGTAGCATACATTGGTGTTGGGGTTAGATGTCACTATTGGGAGGTGCCGATTATATTAATAAAAATTCATAGATTTCTTATCGTGTATTGTATCAATCCTAATACTTTGTATAAATTTGTTGTTTGGTTTCAAAATGGCCTTCGTTTGCACATCTGTATTGTTACCATGGACCTTATAATTACATTTAAATTTAGATTAATACACACAAATCTGAGTGAAACAATTAATGATAATATATGCAGCAAATTATGGATTTAGGGTTCAACCCTAAGCCCTTACTTAAATCCAAAAAGAGTGAATTGTTGAGATATACCTTTAAATATACTTATGCCACAATTTTTTAATCTCATAACTATGGATTGTGATAATGATAAAAATTTTTACTCTAAAATTACATTTGAAATTGTCACTATTGTATAATATCATCTCATTATTGGGAATAGTGACGTACCGTTCTTATTGAGCATATTTACAAGTTAAAAACTAATGGTTCTGGAATTTTACGTTAGTAACGAGAGGATGTCACTCATAAGAGGTGACACTCTTGGGAGGTTTAACTCTATATGTCACTTTACTTCACTTTTCTATATACGGCAAGTTGTACGAGGTATGCAAACAGTCGAACAGCAAGGTTCTTCATAAATTTCTATCGCTTGAGTTTATCTGATGGCTCGCATCTGGAGCTCATTGTTGCTCCGAGTTTACTTTCGAGTATCTCATACAGGTTCCATTGTCAAGTATCATTTCAGATTGTGTTATATATGTAAGCAGAGTGTATTGAAACAAGTTTAGAACACCTGCTTCTAGACATCGGAGATTCCCTCCTTGGATAAAGTCCATCAGATCTATCTTTTAATAAGTTGAAATATGCTTCACATAGCTATCCAGGCGTATAAGTAAAGTGTTTTCTTAGAATATCATATAAATAGTAACAGAGCTTCCAAATATCACACACCTTCATAATAAAAATCAATTTCCATTTAATTTTGTGAAGTGTGTTTTTCAATAAATTAATTGTGGATATTTATAAAGGTAACTTTTGGACCGATTATGATCAAGATAACTGGCTTCCCTCTTTAATGCTTATGTTTTAGTAAAAAATATGCGTTGAGACAGTTTTGATTTTGAACAGCTTTTATTCACATGAAATAACTGATAATTTTCGAATAATTTTGCATGAAATGTAATCCAATTGAATCAAAAGTTTCTTCATTCACAATTTTTTACTTGTAGTTATATTTATGCTTGATGAGTTTTTAACGAAATCCAAAATTTTCTAATATATTAAGATTAGAAAACATTGATACAAGTTTAATCATTATTCAAAAATTTATTTGCAAAACATAAAATTTGACTTACTACTATCACAAAGTGAAAAAGCCTCTTAGAATCTAAAATTTGGCTAAGTTTTAATGTTCAACTTTTGATGGATGATAATAATGTGTTATGGTAATGATTGTAGAGTCCTTCAACTAACTACATAGGTAACATCATTATTATTGAATGGATTCATGGGAAGGGCGAGCTACCTTAAGTGCTTTACAGATTCTTTCCTTTCCGCTCATGGACTGAAGGCTCTTTCTCGATGCCGAATCTGACTGGCCGATGTGTCCTTCCTTGACTTGCATCGCTTTTCGAGTTTCAATCAGATCTTCGGCATCAATACCATTTGATGGCCGAGATATCGAATTCAAGGACCTGAAGATCTGCTGGACAAACCCCATTCCTTCGTGCCGAGGATGCGCCGTAATGTTTCTCCGTGTGCAGGAGTAGGTCAAGTTACCGGATCTCATTGCCTTTTGCCCTGTGAAGTATGGTATGAGGCCCGTTTGCAGCCTTGGGAAAGAAGGGGGTCTTTTGGTGCTGTTGTATGCTGTCAGCCTAATCCAGTTGGAACGTGTGATGGAATTTCCCACATTTGGTAGACACGATGATTGTGCAAAGGTTGCTATTACAGAGAGACATAGAAGTGACGACCCTTATTGTGTTAATATTCTGAGTAAACATGGATAATTAAGGATGCTCAGAGTAAGTTGAGAAAGATGAGGAGGAATAATAAAGGATATGTGCATAGTTAGAAGCGTGAGGTGGTTAGAGCTGAGCTGAAAATAAATCGAGGGTCCTTGAGAGGGTACTCAAACTTCCACCGATCAAGACTTCACAAGACATCATCGGTGAAAGTATAAGTATTGCTTGAAATCCCGAGTTGGAGGACTTCATAGAGCAAGACAACATTATGCTCTTGCTCGAGGTACATAATCAAGACCTCAATCTTGTATGTCAAAATCAAGCCTTGAGCCCATATTGACTTATTTCACCATGATGAAAAGACAAACTTCAACAACACTTCGTTTAGATCCTATCGGCCCAGTAACTTGTCACTCCTTTGAGTTCATACATCCACGCACATGTACATCTTTATGTTTGACATGTTTCTTTGCTACTTGTGCTTGAACAAACGTAAAAGAGACACATAATTAAACAGCGATAAACTTTTTGTTTCACTCATCCTGATGCCTTCAAATTTGATACGAACTATACAAGTGAAACTGTATAACTGCAATGATTTCCTGGGTAGTTATAATAAATTTTCTTCTGAGAGACGAATGGCATCAAGTGAAGAAAGCCAAGGTAGCAAGAAATGATACGCGACAACAGTAAACGGTGTAAGCTTCTAGCATGTACAGAATGCTGTACTGTATTGTATTTCGTGCATGTGTTAACTTGTTGGTCACGCTTCTCTACTCTCGTTTGCGAAAGAAGCCTGCGTTAGACGCAACATACTTAGTGCGTCTGGAGATCAGACGCGCAATCATCACTGAAGAATAAACTTCAATTACTCACCTGAATTGCTTCTACCAGTTTTCCTGTCAATCTTATGTTCGATTACGAACACACTTTCATCTCAGATAGAACTGGCTAAGATCTTCGCCCATGGATTTACAGTGCGTTTCCTAGAAATTTCGGGAATGACTCATCCGTCCTAACCCTTAAAATGATCCTAATATTTACATTCTCTAATACGTTTACACTTCAGCCACCCTGTGACATGTTCTACGAGCCATGAGGCATTTGTAGAATGGCAATCTGCCAAGAAATATTGAAAGCCATCGAACTCCCCACTAGTTGAAATAAATACTACACTAGGAGTTTGGAATGTGGTGGAGATCGGCAGTGTGAGAAAGTCGAACTAGAAGCAAGGGTATTCTTATTTGGCTAAAAGGACCGAGGCAATTGTCTCCTGATCTCGTAGCCATCCGAGAGTATTAATGTGAGAATTCGCTCTGACGGACCCTTCTCTCTTCCGTGTGCAGATGTGAACTCGCCAAGTATCTTCGAATTAGACGTTCACGAATACGAGTCCAGATCATCAATGCTTTCTGACCCACTTCACTTAGCGAATATGTAGATTTGTTGTTTCGCAGCGAGGTACGTTCTCTTCGAAAGATCATCATTTCTTTTCCTTCCAGAAATCGGCTCGTCTGTTAATCTTCCGCGCCTTTTTCACAACAGCCTCAGGATTGGCGTCACCTTTCAAGATCACCTTCTGCTTCGATTGATCGCACTCAACACTTGCCACACCTGAAAAACAGCAATGGGGTCAACAATCCACATCACACAGCATGTGATAGAAGCAATTTTCCAATAGCTAGTGAAATCGCTGCCCACAATCTTCCATCCGCAGTTGAAGACTATCAAACCAGAGCTCAACACATGTGAATCTCTTACCATCCATGGGCTTCAGCTTCTTGTGTACTTTCATGATGCACCCTTCGCAGCACAAAGGCATTGACAATTCGATCATCCCCTTCTTAGCATCTTCCTGCTTCTTCTTCTCTGCCTGCTTCTCGGCATTTAACGCTCTCATGACCCAATAATCATTATGACCGTTGTACCACGGCGATGGGTTGTCTCCTGCGTAGAAAAGCTGCAGGCAGACGGAGATGTGAAATGTGTTAAGACGAATAGAACAAATTCTTCGCACCATCCAACGATGTAAAATCATGAACGAATTCGACGATTCTCGTCGCACTGCAGGCCCTCACCTCGTTCGGATTCATAGCCATGGCTGAGCTTGGAAGACGCCGAAAGAGATTTCTGGTTATTCGCAGAGTTGCAAGAGATAGACTTCTCCGCAGTTCGAAGCGTCGAATGAAAGAAAACAGAGGCAATGTAGATCAAAATCCGAACTTGGATCGCTATCGAAGAAATGTGCAGCGGGAGCT